TTTACAGCAGTTGCAAGGATAAATAGTCACTACAGCATATGTGATATTCTTCCCAATATCCCAAGCTAGACCTAAAGAATGAGATAAAAAAGGATATAATATAAAAGGATAATAAAGGAAGAGATAAGGAAAGATAACTGATACAGTCCAAAATATATTTTTCTATGATTGCTGTCTGATGAAGCAGAATTAAGTTTGCCCTCGTACCACAAAGTATTTACTTAACACTGCCAATTAGCAAGGAAAGGGGGGAAAAAAAAAAAGCATCAGCCTTCAATGGAACAAGGCTGCACACTAGCCCCTGTACAGTACCCTCCATTGAGAAGTCCACTCCTTCCGTCCAGGGAGGGGGAAGAACGTGTTGAATGTGTGTTTTCTGTTCATTTCAACAGGAACTAGCAAGTTCCTACTCCTGCTGCGTAGGGACCTCTCTCTTTTCATTAGACTGTTGTTTCAACATCGCTAATCTCTAAGCAGGATATGTTACAGTGTTGGCACATGCCAACAGTAAGGCAGCCGTCAACAGCCTAAAAGAGTTTTGATAACATTAAATCAACAAGAGCAAACTTACACTACATTAGAAAATGTGTACACCGGAAACTCCACAAAATTGTTTCTGCCAAAATCAACACACAGACTGCACAGTCGCACCTGCAGAATGACAAAGCCAAGGATGGAAGGAACTAAGACCACATCAGTGATTCTCTAAACTCTATAGTGCCCTCAATAGTTATATTTCAGTTACTAAGCCACAAACAAAATTTCCCTCAAAGTTTTACAAGTGTTTCTCTATATTTTGAACAAGCAGAAATTAAATTCAATTCCTGAAGTCAATGTTTATACATAGGTTTTCTCTGTTGAATTCGGTGACTTGCAACCAAATTTTATTTGGCACAGAAATCCTGCTTAAAAAATTAAGGACAGTACAAATATTCAGATAAGAGAAGTTACGAAAAAACTTGCTGGGTGAGCATGTGAATAATGGGGAATTCTAAGGGAAATAAGGATAAGACAGCATTTGCATTGTCAAGTATGATGTCACTTATGATGCAGAGCACAATCTGTGGTTGTGTGCATGATGACAATACTTTGTAAGATCTTTAATTTTGATATGGCAAAAGAAAGTTCACAACCCTAAACATAAAACAGAAGAGAAAAGGCCTACTTTGATTAAGGACATGGAGGCAAACAAATAACGATGAAAAACACGGTATGACTTCATAACATCAATCTACTAGAAACAACTTTCCCTTTTAACCCCAAGCTCAAAAACTGCCATGTAGTTTTCAGGAAAACAGCATAAAAGAGAAATATATTCAAGGAAGAAAAGGACTTTAAATCACAAAAGTAAACCATTTTCATGAGAAAACTTATTCATTGAGTTTAAGTCTGACCAAAAAATGTCTTTTAAAATGAGTTTCCACAGGTGGAAAATTTCTGAACATTCTGAAGTTTCTGAAAAATTCTGAATAAATTCTCATTTATTCAGAAACATGACTACATTTAAGTAAACTTCTGCTTAGAAAACAAGGAACACCTTGTTTTGTCTCCAGTCGACATAGTATAAAACATAGCAAGTAATATACTCAACGTGCAAAAAGGAAAGGGAGGGAAATACCAGACATCATGAACCACAGAAAAGACACAAATATGAAAAGGAGAAGGCAAGAGAAAATATATCATCTTCTGCAGACTGTATAACAAAGACTAAACAGGTGACAATCAGAAGTTTGCCATAGTGCTAATGTGGCTATTGATCTAAGATCCCACTGAGTTAAATGCTGTATTAAGGAAGTTTAAATAAAAACAACAACAACAACAACAACAACAACAACAAAGATGATTGTGCACAATACAACTGACAAAATCATCCATCTTCACATTTATCTTTCAGGAGAATGAACAGAACTCTGCAGGCTCCTTTCAAGAAAAGCACACCCACGACTGGCATGCAAAGGTAAGAAAAGGAAAAAGGGAAACTGCAGACAATTCACAGGTGGCTTTTATGAATAATCTTTTACTATATCTGGTGCTTTAACACAAGCCTTAGAAAGTAATTGCCAGCTGGCTTAAAAAGCAAAAACAAACCCCCCTTCCTGCCCACTCCCCCAGCAAAACTGTATGTGTCATACTGAAAGCTCCAGACTAATTAGGCCCTGGGTACCTCTGTGAGAGATTTTGCGGAAGATGCGTGGTGAAAGTGATGGAAGCTACATGCATCTATCAACATGGCAATGGGAAACCCCAAAAGACAGAATTAAAAAATGCTCAGTGTCAGCGTCACACACACGGTTTTAAAACTGCAAGTTCAGAACTAAAACTGCAAGTTCAGGATGAAAACGGTGTATTTGAAACATTTTGTAGCATGCAAACAGAACACAAAAGTAATTTAGCATCCTTCATTCTGCTTAAAATTGCAACTCACTTCACACTTCATGTTAATTCTTAAATATTTCTTAAGCACTCAAAGGCCTTGTCTTCATACTGAGCTCAGATCTTTTATTTTTTCAGATTATTCCTCTAACAAAACTAGACCTCCCTTTTCTCATAGATATTTAACAGATTATGCAGAGAAAAAACTAAAATAAGCCCAACACCTTTAGGTCAGGGCATATAAAAATGCTCTCATATTCAAAACAAACACATTAGCAACATCAATATTGACAAGCCATCTCTGTTAACTCCTAAAAACTGACGCTGTCCTCCCTCTTGTGAGTTCTGACTCACAACCTGCAGTGAATGTAGCTGATGTGCAAGAGCAGCAGAGATGTCCCTTCTGCTCTAACACTGCAGTTCACTGCTGTGGCTATAGGAGAACAGAGTAACAAGCATCTTAAATTTAAAGTTACCAGAGATCATCACTAATTTCTTTGATCACAAACGTCTTTTGGGCAGAGAAATCCACTTTATTCCATGTTTGCAGAGCTCTAAGTATGATAGGCTCTAATCGGACAGACACTCCTCAGCATTATTGCTGTATAATGAATAGTTAGTTGCGGGC